GATGCATGAAATTCATGCAAGAGTAGGCCTTCCTTTCTCCGGCTGCCAGTACTGGCTTCCCTCTGGCACTCGGGACCTGGGCTGGCTTCCCTCTGGCCCTGTCTTCGTCTGGAAGGACATTTGGTCTAATTAGCATATTAACATTATTATAGATAGGAAATATGAATTACCTCTTTCTTTAAATACATATAGAATGCACAATCTGAGTGGCTTATAAAGAACAACAATTTATTTCTCACAGATCTGGAAGCTGGAGGTCCATGATCAAGGTGTCAGGGGATTCAATGTCTGGTGAGAGCCCCTTCCTAGATGGCTCTTTATGCTGCGTCCTCACACAGCAGAAGGGGTAAGGCGGGCTCCTTGAGGTCTCCGTTCACAGGGCCTTTCCTCTCAAGACCTAGTCACCCTCCAAGGGTCTCACCTCCTAATGCCATCACATTCTTTTACCCCATTTCTTTGTGGACCCTTAGCCACACACAATCTTAAACATCTGTCAGTGTTGTTTTGTTTTTCATGTGCTAGGATTAATCTTCATTTGTAAGATTGTCATTCAGCAAAGAAGAATTAGAATTGGGATTCCAATTACCCTATACATAAGAAAGGAAAATAATTAAGATAACCTATTTAACTTGAGAGCCTTTTAGGAACAGTTAACTGATACATGTAAGCTAAACACATGCGTGTCATTGACCTCCGGTAACGGTGCAATGGCTAATATAGTGACATAGAAAACAATGTTCAGTCTTTAGTTAGCTTTATAAGTAACATGAAGATAATATTCTTAAATATTAAAATTAAAATTTATAAAAGATACAGACATTAAGATCCAAACAACAACAGGAGTGCCTTCCTATGCTTTCATGTGATAGTCTGTGACTGCAGGAAATAACCTACTGTGGGTAATGCAGTTGGAAGAATAGAAGAAAACACAAATTTTGGAGGTAAATAGACTTGCTTTTGCTAACTGTATACCTTTAACTAACGCACACTAAGCCTGTTTCCTCAAGGATTGAGGTACCCTGCAGAATAACTATGAGGATTAAATGAGTTGCTCAAAAGTAGCAGTTCTTCTTAAGATGAGATTTCCACCTGGAACACAGATGTTTAAATGAGAGGCAGCTACACAGGGGCCTGCACAATCTGAGTGGCTTATAAAGAACAACAATTTATTTCTCACAGATCTGGAAGCTGGAGGTCCATGATCAAGGTGTCAGGGGATTCAATGTCTGGTGAGAGCCCCTTCCTAGATGGCTCTTTATGCTGCATCCTCACACAGCAGAAGGGGTAAGGCGGGCTCCTTGAGGTCTCCGTTCACAGGGCCTTTCCTCTCAAGACCTAGTCACCCTCCAAGGGTCTCACCTCCTAATGCCATCACATTCTTTTACCACGACTCCATTTCTTTGTGGACCCTTAGCGACACACAATCTTAAACATCTGTCAGTGTTGTTTTGTTTTTCATGTGCTAGGATTAATCTTCATTTGTAAGATTGTCATTCAGCAAAGAAGAATTAGAATTGGGATTCCAATTACCCTATACATAAGAAAGGAAAATAATTAAGATAACCTATTTAACTTGAGAGCCTTTTAGGAACAGTTAACTGATACATGTAAGCTAAACACATGCGTGTCATTGACCTCCGGTAACGGTGCAATGGCTAATATAGTGACATAGAAAACAATGTTCAGTCTTTAGTTAGCTTTATAAGTAACATGAAGATAATATTCTTAAATATTAAAATTAAAATTTATAAAAGATACAGACATTAAGATCCAAACAACAACAGGAGTGCCTTCCTATGCTTTCATGTGATAGTCTGTGACTGCAGGAAATAACCTACTGTGGGTAATGCAGTTGGAAGAATAGAAGAAAACACAAATTTTGGAGGTAAATAGACTTGCTTTTGCTAACTGTATACCTTTAACTAACGCACACTAAGCCTGTTTCCTCAAGGATTGAGGTACCCTGCAGAATAACTATGAGGATTAAATGAGTTGCTCAAAAGTAGCAGTTCTTCTTAAGATGAGATTTCCACCTGGAACACAGATGTTTAAATGAGAGGCCCACAGGGGCCTCCTGAGATGTAAATGACCATTTGCAGTCAGAGGGCCCCTGACTGGTGAGAGACTGAAGAACTGGTGCTTCTTGAGTTCCATGTTGAGATAAAAGAAACAAACCTCAGAGCAGGAAAGGACCCAGACATATAGGCAGAGGATAGAGAGCATTAGAATATAGCAAAATGCATCAAGCTTATCATTTACCAGCTGTCATTTCCCTTATTCGCTACTTTCTACACAGGCAAATGCGAATGTTTAAAATAAGAAACACTATAGACTTCAGTTCAGGGTCAAGCTAGAAGAGAGTGGGTGAGACGAGTCCCATCTCACAATCCATCCTGGAAGGAGAAAAATCTCTGGAAAGAACGTGGCTCCTGGCATCTTAAGAAGAGAGGGAGGTAGGCTGAGTCCTACGGGCCTGCACAGAAAAAGGGTGAGGTGAGCAACTCTGAAAATGTGGCTCGTAACTGCTAGGAGGCACATTAAAGTCTCCGACATTTCATTAATTTCCAAGAGAGTTGTATACCCAATATGTGATCCAGATACGAATAGCAACTGTGAATTTGCTGAGGTTTCATGCTGGGCATGGAGAGATGGCAAGGTTTAGATGAATCTGAGGGGGTAAGTGCATGACCAACGAGCAAAGATCAGGGCACAGAAAAATAGTGTCAGCTCTCCTGGGATTCATCCATTTGTTTGGAATTGATGAGGACAGAGAAGGAAGATGAACGAGAAAGTCATTAGAGTGTAAGCTGTGAAGGTCCTTGAATGCTAGCATAAAGACCATCTTTGCTCTTATCAATGAAAAACCATTTAAGGTTCTCAGCAAAGAGAGAGGAGAGAGAGAAGAGAGAGAGAGAGAGAGAGAGAGAGAGAACAACAGTACAACAGTGAAGTTAATTCCTGGAAACTCTTCAGGATAATTTCTAATGAACCTGAGAGGGTAATTAGCCAGAACATTCATTCCTCAAACATAATTAACATTTACAGCCTTTGAAGTTTATGAAGTACTTTTCATACATCCACTTTCATTTTATTCTCCCAACAAGTTCCAAAATCATGGGTTAGTCTTATCCCCATTTTATAGCTGCGAAACACGAATATATCACACAAGGGCCCAACAGGAAACAGAGGGCAAACTCAAATTAGAGTCATTTACAGAGTTTATTTACAAGGGGTTATAAAAGGATGGGGAAGTGTAGAGGGTCAGAAACCTGGGGCCAATAATAGTGGGAAATCTGTAACCACTCCCAGGCCAGGAGGCTGAGGAGAGTGAGTTTACTGTGACCTAGGAGGAAGGAGTTGTGTAAAGAGATTGCCGTGAGATGGGCAGTGACCTTTGGTAGTAAAACATTAACAGTTCAAGGCAGCCTCCTCCCAGGGAAGAGCCACGGGAATGAATACCCTGATTTTGTTCTCTGCCCTCCCATCTCTTGTTAAAGGTCCCATTGGCTGGAAGGAACTGGAAGCCAAAGGCACAGGAATCCATTGATACAGGCTATACCTTTCCCCCTCAACATCCTCTCTAGTCTTCCACCCACATGAAAAATTTCTATCCCCAGCACCAGGGACACATGAAGTCCCTTAAGAGTGTGTGTCATCAGGGATTCATGTTGATTCAAACACATTCCCTCATGACAACCCAAAGTTAGCCACTCTGGGTGTCCTTCTTATGTGATAGAAGGAAAAGTTGGGAGAAGGTAAAAGAAAGGAGAGAAGTGACATGAAACAGCTGCTACAGTCCACACTTCCTTCTGGTCACGAGGGCTAGGTTAGTCATCATAGCACCAAGCCCGGCTTCATGGGTGCACAACCTGTTGGTGGTGGTGGAAATAAATATATAAAAATTGCTTAATAACCTGTTCTCTGGACCTGAGATCTGTAGGCCTAAATGTGCATGTGATGGAAGAACCCTTCCTAACACCAGAGGGCGCTGTGCCATTGGGAGACCAGCAACTGCTTTTTTTTTTACAACTTCTACATTTTTGCATCACATGCAACCTTTCAGAAAAGCCTTCTGCTTTTCCTTTTGGCAGTTCTTAGGCCAGGACCGGTTCCTAGGTTGAAAGAGAACGAGAGGTTAAGAGAAGCTGCTAGCGACCAAGTTGCACGGCAGTAAGAACAATCCGTAATTGTTAGCCTGTACTGTTCAGCCTCTAGCAAATTCAGTAATCTCAATCTTTCTGGTCTTCATTATCCCCATTTAAAGTTAATATACAACTCAGGCAGACATGTCTAAAGAGCATAATTAAATTGTTTTCTATTAGAAGGTGAGATTAGATCCTGTTGATTATCATTCTAATGATTCTGGCAATTCTAGTTAGAATCGTCAACTTAACTCTACTAAAATTTTATGTATGTCCTAGAAATTTTAAGGAGAATACCCACCAAGTACCACCAATAATCTACTCTTAACATTAACCTTCTTCTAAATCTAATTAGTATAGGGGTTTGGGGGTTCTTTTTCACAAATACAAACTAAGAGGTAATTTTTCTTTTTAAGTAATTTTAGTCGAATTTATTGGGGTGAATATATAGATTTCAGGTGTACAATTCTATAATACATCAGCTGTATATTGTATTGTTTGTTTACCATTCCTGGTCAACTCTTCTATCTCCATTTATCCTCCCATTATCCTCTTCTACCTCTCTGTAACTATGAATTTTTGTTTTTTGTTTGTTTGTTTTTTAGAGGAAGGAAGAGAGAGAGAAACATTGATTGGGTGTCTCCCATAGGCACCCCAACAGGGGACTGAACCCAGCACATAAGGCATGTGACTGAAAATCCAACTGGCAACCTTTCGGGTATGGGATATGCTCAACCATCTGAGCCACACCAGCCATGGCTGGTGTTTTTTTGTTTGTTTGTTTGTTTTTTGCTTAATCCCTTGACCTTTTTTCTTTTATCCCGCTCCCTAACTCCCTCCCTTCTGACAGCTGTCAGTCTTTCCTCTGTATCTATGAGTCTGCTTCTATTTCGTTTGTTAGTTTACTGTGTTCATTAGATCCCACATATAAGTGAAATCAGATGGTACTTGTCTTTCTCTGACTGGCTTATCTCACTTAACATAATACTCCTCAATACTCGTGAATTCCCTTAACATTCATTGAACATCAACTGTGTGCCTTGCTTACATTCGCTAGATGCGGATAAAAATATGCAAATTGTGCTTTTGTGACGTTTTCCACCTAGGACACAATAAGATGATTTTTTTTTAATTGTAAAATTGACCTGATTGGTGCTACCAGAATTACAGGAAGCTACCAGCAGATACAACAGGGAGACTTGCTCCATGCAGTGCGGGTGGTCAGGAAATGGTTCTCCAAAGAAAACTATTCCCGAGATCTGACAAATAAATAGATGCTAAACAGGCAAAAAGTGTGCGGGGGGCGGGGGCAGGCAGAGGTGAGGGTGGGGAGGCCAATCTCAGCGCGCACCCGAACATTTGTGGGGGGACCTGGGGAAATATAAGGTCACTGTGGCCAGAGTTCCGTATACCGCGGGGGGTGGAGAAAGTTGGGCCGCCAGGGGCCTTCAAAGCCATGACTACTTTTATGCCAAGAGCAGCTACGAGTCACGGGAGAGTTTTAAGCAAGAGGTTCCGCGATTCCCTTTGTGTGGACGAGACTATCCTACCTACGTGCCACGTGAGGAATGAATGAATGAAGACGTCGAGCCGGGCTGGAGGCCACTGTTCTTTGTGGAAGGATGACCCCGGAAGTGGTGCGCCGGGGACTTCCCGGAAGCTCCGACCAAGACTCGCTCCTTTGCTACGGTGGCCGGGAAGGCCCTGGACTAATGGGCCCCGTTGCTCTGGGGGGAGGCGCACGCGCACTGCGGCCTCGGCTCCGGAAAGGGTGCAGTCGGAGCTGGGGAGGGGGGAGTACGGGTCCCTCTCCTCTTCCCACGCCGCACTGATTTCCTAGACCCGCCCCAACAAGCTTTGCCATTGGTTTAGAGATGGGAGAGCCCGCCTTCCCCCCTTTCTGATTGGCTGCCCGATAGGAGGCGGGGCTTGGGCGCTGGTGGATTGCATCAGCGGGTGCTTCCAGGCTAGTGGCTGTGGCGCCGAGATCCCAGGAGCCGCAGCGCCCTTCAGGCCGCCTCCCGCTCCTCTGCCCCCGGCCGTCGCTTTTGAGTTCCGTCCTCTCTTCCCGGTTCGCGGATGTCCGAGGAGAAGGCCAGCAGCCCTTCAGGGAAGATGGAAGGCGAGGAGAAGCCGGTGAGTGGGGTCGGGAGCGCGGGCGGGGGCTCTTCTCGGTGCCGCGGCCCCCCTTTGGAGGGACCGAGGGGGGCGGCGGACAAGCCAGGGCCCGGTTGGCGGCGGAATCGTCCATTCATTAAGCTGGCGGGGCTTGCAGGGCTCCTCCGCTCCATCCTCTCGGCAGGTGGGGGAACTGGGAGCTGGAGCGAGCGGCTCAGAACCGCACATCTGACTGGAAACCGAGACAATTCCGGGCCCCCGGCCTGGTGATTTCCCTTCACCTGCGGTGAGAGGAGCATTGCAGAGCCTCCTTGAACCCTGAGACCCCATTCAGAGCAGAAGCCTCTGGGTTAAGGAAGAGAAACCGGGTTCCCGAGGTCTGACCCGCCCGGGTGGGTGGTCAATGGTGGAGGCCGATGACCTGACCCCCTGGACAAGTTTCACACTTGCCCTGCCTGGGCCGCAGGCGACCTTATCTCATTCACACCCCTGATCGTCTCACCTTTGAACTTTACCTTTGTGCCATCCCTTGCTTAGGAACATCTCCCTCCCGGGTCACTTGCATGCCACCGGGTCGAGGTGTTGTGTGTGTGTGTGTGTTTAGTATTTATTTATTTTTTACGATTAACAAATAAACGAGAAGTATTTATTCTGCATGCCGGGCCATACACCCAGGCAGGGGAATAGGACCCAGCCTGGGGTGCGAAAGACAGGGACACAGCCGTTCTGCTGAGGGGTTCCGGAAGCGGGTGCCTAGTTCTGCGTGGGGAGGCTCTCGAATTGAGTGTGAAGAATGAGTGTAAGTTCCCCCAGGTCAACCAGACAGGACAGGGCTTTCCAGGGAAAGGCAGGGAAGGCAGTGAAAAGGCGGCTGAATGAATGAATGAAGAATGAATGAATGAATGAACGAATGGTGTGTGGGGTTGCTTTGCTTGCAAGAGAGATGCTGAAGGAGGAGCCACAGCCGTCGGAGGGATCTTAGGCAGCCGATGGTTGGAATGGTTTCCTGCAAGTGAAGGTTTCTAAGCAGGGAAATGACAGGTGAACTGTAGTCTTGAAGATCACGCTGGCATTGGGGTGGGAGGTACCTGGGGAAGAGGTGAGACCACACACAGCGGGCGGCTGCACTGGTCCACGTGCGAGGTGAGGCGTTGAGCTAAAGAAGACGCAACCCAGCTTCAAAGCCACAATTTTCTCATCAGTAACACGAGGACGTCCCTAACTCAGGGTTTGGTTGGGGAAAATGCATGTGCACACATTCTAAACGATGTAAATTAAATTAAAAGTAGTAAATGGTGTCTGTTCATAGAATTTCCCCCATCTATATTGTCTTCACTTAAAAATGGAATCTTTACTTTTTAGTTAATAGTCTGTAGTCCAGTGTTCCATGCCCATAAATATTCTGCTGTGCCATTCTTAATTGGAGGCCTGGCTAGTAAATGTATGATTTCTCCCTTCTGTAATAATAATTGCTAATGTTGATTGAGTACCAACTATGGGGTCTGGCACTGATTACATGCATGAACTCATTCAGTCCTCAAAATAAGATTAGAGAGAGCAGCCAAAATGCCCAGCTGTTAAATGGATAAGTAAACAATGAAAGGAAGGAAGTACCGAAATGGAATGTGGAATGTTTATTTTCTCCAGATAAGTTCTCCGTGAATGGAATGTTACTTGACAATAAAAAGGAAGGAAGTATTGAAGCGAAACTTGGATGGCCTTGAAACCATTATGCTAAGTGAAACAAACCAGTCTCAAAAGACCACATATTATGAAATGTTTAGAATGTGGGAAAACTATAGAGACAACGCAGGTTCGTGGTTGTCAGGTGCTGGGAAAGGGGGATGCGATAGGGACAGAGAGTAACTACTGATGGGTGAGGATTTCTTCTGAGGTGATGAGAATGTTCTAAATTGCTTGTGGTGGTAGTTGCACAACTGTGAACACACTAAAAACCATTGAATTGTATACTTTATGTTGGTGAATGATAGGAAAGTATCTCAAAAAAAACACAGTTATCTCCTGAATGAAAGGTCATAAGCATACAAAATTATAATAGAGTCCCCTTCACATCCCTAGCTCTACCCGCAAAACTTCCTCACCACTGATGATCGCAACTCCTTAGAGTTGGCCACTGTCAACACCTGGATACATATCTTTCCTGCCACTCATAGGTTGTGTGAACCTGGAAGAATTGTCTAACTTTTCCAATTAATTTATCTGTAAAATGGGAATAATAATAACAATAATAGCCGTCTCACAGGGTGGCCGTGAAAATCAGATGTGATTGTGGAAGAACTGTGTACATGGTGACATTCTGGGTAGTGCCGTTTGCCTTAGGGTGTTTCTGAGGTGACTGAAGTAAGTGATGCATTTCTGAGAAAATCCTCTCACCGTATCCCATCCTGTCGTCAGGCTTTCTCGACCTCAACACTGTTGACATTGTGTGGACTGGATACTTCTTTGTTGCTGTCTGTGCATCGTTGGATGCTTGGCAACACCCCTGGCCTCTACCTCCTAGATGACAATTGCACCCCCAAGTCATGACAACCAAAAACGCCTGCAGACATTGTCAGATGTCCGCTGGGGCGCACATGGCTTCTGGTTGAGAGCCACTGGTGTATACCTGCTCTGCTGCTGGCTGCCTCTTTGCACAGGACTTCCTGTCAAACTTTCTGCGACTCCGTGTGCTTCTAATTGAAGTCCACATTCCTTAGGGTAACTTTTAGGGTTTGCTCTGTCTGAGCCCTAGTTTGTCTTAACATATTTCCTAAAACAATCCTGCCTTAGTCAGCCTTAGTCTGTCTGTCCCTCTCACTCTCTCGCTCTGTCACCGTCTTTCTCTTTTTAATATTTCCGACAATGAGTGTGTGTACACCTAGAACACATGTCCTCCATTCTCGAGATCCGGCCTGTCGTCCTAGCTTATTCTACATCGAATCACAGTGTTGCAACTGTGTTCTCTCCCCCCTCGCGGGGTTTTTCACATATGCCTGCCTTCGTTTCCCTGGAGAGATTACATTTGCACGTGGCAGGGATTGGGTCTTAGTTTTGCAAATTCCACAGGGTTTAACAGACTACCATGAGCGCAGAGGCTCTTAGTACGTGTGGAATGAATGGATACATATCGCACGGATTTCCCCCCTGAAAATGTTACTGAATAGATCTCATGCTTGTTTGTGGCTACATGTTTAGTATATGTCCAGGCAAACCTGCAGCCGGAGTCATGGGAACAGGCAAAATACATAAAATGTGAGGACTGGAACATTATCAAGAAACCCCTCTGCCTTTTGGGACTTGTCTTTATTACAAGTTGCTGCCTTGCCTTTTACAGTGGTCGACAGTGCTCGGATTTTCTAGTCTTTCAAAATCAGACTTTCACTCTTTAAAAAACAGATGCTAACATAGCATCCTCTAAACTCTTCTGGGGGCAGCATGAAGGGGTGTCACATTAGACTGAAATATGAAACCTTCTTTTCTTTTTGCTCCTCTAGGTGGGTGCCAGCCAGGAGAGGCACAAGGAAGACGGCAAGAAGAAGAACAAAGAAGGGTCTGGAGATGGAGGGCGAGCGGAGGTAGGTGTTCAGGGCTGTCATCAGGTTTGACAGGTGGCAGAGCGCTGTCTCAGACGTGTCCTGTGTCAGATCCTCAGGGCTTACATGGCACTGGCAGGCCGACTCGATGGAAATTTCAGGGAGAAGAATGAGGAAAGCGTGGGAGGGGAAGAAGGACTTGCAGCTATTTGTTATTGAAAAAGGAAAGCAACTGAAATATAATTGTAAAGCAATCTGTGGGATGAGATATGAAAACCAGATGTTGAAGGGGAGAGACTCGGTGTCCGAGCTTGTCCTGAGTTCAATAGAAACCAAGAAAGCCCACGTCCTTGACCTCCTTCCCACTCTTTCCACCTGGACCGGCCTGTGGGTTTGGTTTTCAGCCAGACAAACTGCCTGTCAAGTAGAGGGCGTATGCTCCCCGTTTCCCATGCTCCAACTAAAGGCGCGGCCTTTTCTGAAAAGGAAAGCGAGCACTTACTGATTATTTAAATATCAATGCAATCTGTTATTTTAGAGTTGATTTTGAAGGTCATTTGGTGATGCAGTTTCTCCATTGTTGCACACTGATATTGTAGCAATGGGTATTAAAATTCAGGCTCCTATCAGTCCAGGCACTTTTTCTCTACATTCTACAATATCCTCTTCCTTTGTTGTCTTGCAGTTGAATCCTTGGCCTGAATATATTAACACGCGTCTTGAGATGTACAATAAACTAAAAGCAGAACACGACGCCATTCTGGCAGAAAAAGCAGCAAAAGAGAGCAAGCCCATCACAGTCACTCTGCCGGATGGTAAGCAGGTGGCCGCGGAGTCCTGGAAAACCACGCCTTACCAGATCGCGTGTGGCATCAGGTACTGGCCGCACCTGTCCTCATCTTCTGCTGTTTGTAATTAAACTTAAACGTATTTTGCCAGGTTTTATCCTCAAAACATCTTTATGTTACTGTTCCATATTTTTAATGTTTAATTCACATTATTTGGGATTTTTTCAAAATCTAGAGGATGTAGAGCTTTATAGTCAAGATTCAAAGTTAATTTCTTAGAGGCTCTAGTTTGGTTTTATCTTATGAAGGATTTTATATGATTAGTTCTTCTACCTTGATCAAACATGTCACAAAAATCAAGTAGATAAGGTTTCACAATCTATTTTGATTTAAATGTCTCGGTTTTAAACTTAAATGAAGGTTGATCATCTCACAGGGGAAAGTTAGGAAACTATTATTCAACATGAGAAAATGTACTAATTTTATAAATCTAAAGGAGGGCCATGCCCGGTCTTAAAACTGAACACTTTTATCGGGTTGGGAAGAGGTAACAGAATCAGATGCATACTCTGTAATAGAGTAGTGGTTTCTTAATCTGATATGATTTGGGACTCAATAGTTGGGTCAGTTTCCATGTGAGATTATAAATAATTGGATAGACCTTTAAATATCAGTGCAATCTGTCATTTTAGAGGTGATTTTGAAGGTCATTTGGTGATGCAGTTTCTCCATTGTTGCACACTGATATTGTAGCAATGGGTATTAAAATTCAGGCTCCTATCAGTCCAGGCACTTTTTCTCTACATTCTACAATATCCTCCTCCATTGTAAAATAGTTTTTTGAGAATTGCCAAATTTTACATTGAATCACATGAGACCTTGATGAGCTTTAGAGCTGGGGTTCAGTCATGCTCTGCAAGTGAGGGTGCTTGAAGACATTTTTCCACAAGTCCAGAATAACTTCTTGTTCTGTGAAAAATTATAGCACCAGTAACAGGCTGTTTAAAGGTTCTGATGATTAGGAATGAATATGAAAGGGAAGCAAAAAGAAGGCATGCTCCATTTGCTTCAAAAGGGTTTTCTTTGAAGTTTTGTTTTGTTCTCAGTCTTGAAGTATGGATTATTTTGTTTCTTCTTTGGAAAATTGAAATGATCCAGTATGGTCCATGTGAGGTTATTTAGCATTGACTCTCAAGAAATTCCGTTACAGATTTCAAACGTAGGTAGAGCAGAGAAGTTATTTAGTACCCCCGGCCCCTTTTGCTGTTGGAATCTAAGTAGCTTGGCTTTGTGGAGAACTTCTTTGGAGAAAGTAAAAAATAAACTAGACTACTGAAAAGCCTCATTGTTTGTTTATTAGAGTGGCTATGTCTGTTTAAATAAGTAATAAATGTCAAAAAATAGTGTTCTGAATTTTCAGGATCTTGTAGTTAATTTTTAGGTACATTGGCACATTTTTGGAGTTTGTTGCTTTTTCCATTTTATTTCAGAAAGATATATATATATTTTTTTTCATATAGTGGTATAGTATAGAGTAGTATAATATAGTACATATCCTCCTATTTAATAAAAGGCTAATATGCAAATCGACCCAACAGTGGAATGACCAGTCGCTATGATGCGCACTGACCACCAGGGGGTAGATGCTCAACACAGGAGCTGCCCCCTGGTGGTCAGTGTGCTCCCACAGGGGGAGCGCTGCTCAGCCAAAAGCTGGGCTCACGGCTGGCGAGTGCAGTGGTGGTGGTGCTAAGGATGTCCGACTGCTGGCTTAGGCCCGCTCAAATTTCATGCACCAGGCCTCTAGTAGTAGTATAGTATACTAGAGGCTTGGTGCACAGATTCATGCACCAGTAGGGTCCCTCGGCCAGGCCTGCACCCTCTCGCAATCCAGGACCCCTCGGTGGATGTCGGACTGCCAGTTTCGACCCAATCCCCAGAGGAGATTCATCAGTCTGTTCCATGTTTCCATGCCTGTACATCGAGCGTCTGCCCCCTGGTGGTCAGTGCGCGTCATAGCTACCAGTAGAATGGTCGTTCGGTCGCTTAGGCTTTTATATATATAGATGTGTATGTATATTATATAGTGTTTATTTTCCTGTTCTTGTTAAGTCAAGGCCTGGCTGACAACACTGTTATTGCAAAAGTGAATAAAGCTGTCTGGGACCTAGACCGTCCTCTGGAGGAAGACTGTACCTTGGAGCTCCTCAAGTTCGAGGATGAGGAAGCTCAGGCTGTAAGTTTTCACTCCGTGTTCATTACATTTCAGGATGGTGATTCTCATTCGCATTGTTTTCCAGCTCATTACCACTGCCAGGAGGTGACGAAAATTTATTGATGTCTCATCATATTCGAAGTCTTCATTTTTGTCTTTCACTAAGGGAATATAATAAAAGTGCTTGCTTTATGAAATCAAGAGGTGAAATTGAATAAATTTATTTTCACTACTAGATAATAAAATGAGGGCGCATATTTATGGAAATTCTATTAAAATTTTATTAGAAATTGATTAAACAAGTAAAACTTGCAATCAACACTTAAGCAAGATGTATATACATATTTAACAAATAAATTGGAACATTACCTAAAGTACTTACATTGGGAAGTTGATTTCCATTTTTTCCTCATCTTTAAGTGAAAATCTGCTGAATGTACGATAAAACCAACTTGCATATGATGGAAAGGTTTTCTCCTTATTTCTTCATGATGGTATACATATAAAGGGAAATAAAATGTGTTGTTTTCGTTTGTTTCATTGATGATGGTTTACTTATGTAGGTGAATCAATCGTTTTCAAAAGTATTCTGGATTCCTTAAACTTTTAAAGAGAATTTTAAAAATCATTTGGGTACCTTACTGTTAAATCTTAAAAACGTTGATTTGGACACATTCTGATTCATCTGAATGGCCACCTTAAAGCCCAGTACTGCCCTTTGCTTTTAGTGTTCACTGTTTGTCCTTGTACTTTCTAGTGGTATTGTGGGATCGAGTTGTACCACCCTAGTTGTTTGGGGCCAATAAGAAAAAGGCAGATAAAATTCTAAGTGATGCTCCACAGCCAAGTAAACGCACGTGGTTGGGTGGGCACACTGCCTCAGAAGGCCTGGGCCCTTGCAGTCCAGAAGGCAGTCACATGGTGAGTGGCGATTGTTTCCAGGGAACAAAATCCACCCATGTGATTAATGAGGCTAATTTGAATTTAATTAGTTTGAAAACAAACTAGGTAATTTCTCAGGTAGAAATATACTTTAGCAATTAGCATCCTTTTAAATTATTTTGGCTCTGTATAGAATCACACTGCAGTTTATAGATTTGTAAATTTAGATTTTTCTTTCTGGGTTTATTTATAATAAATTCTATATATCTCTTTCAGATGACCATATTAACTTATAACACATATGCCCGGTCTCAGACCTTCTCATTTTTCTTTGAATTTTCAGGTATATTGGCACTCAAGTGCCCATATAATGGGTGAAGCCATGGAAAGAGTCTACGGAGGATGTTTATGTTATGGTCCACCAATAGAAAGTGGGTTCTATTATGACATGTACCTTGAGGAAGGGTAAGTTATATCATTGGATAAAGAGAAATGAAATCTGAATTACCATGAGTCCATACATTATTTTTAAATTGTTCTCAGTAAAGGAGGAATAATATAATGCTTGTTGCTTCATGGTCACCAAGCATTCCCACTGTTAAAACTTGAAGTGTGGCCCTGACCGGTTTGGCTCAGTGGATAGAGCGTCGGCCTGTGGACTGAAGGGTCCCAGGTTTGATTCCAGTCAAGGGCATGTACCTTGGTATCCGGCACATCCCCAGTAGGGGGTGTGCAGGAGGCAGCTGATTGATGTTTCTCTCTCATCGATGTTTCTAACTCTCTATCCCTCTCCTTTCCTCTCTGTAAAAAATCAATAAAATATATTTTAAAAAAAAAACTTAAAGTGTGTAGTAACTTACAGAGGTGTAGAGACTTTCGTGAGAGCTTTGTTCTAGGTTGATGGAGGCAGGGCCTAACGTACCCTGGGAAATAACTGAAGCCGGTCCTCTCTCCTTTAACCTGCTATAGAGTGGAGGGGGGAGTCACTAGTGGGGACAATCTCCAGGATGACCAAGGCAGGAGCCAATGGAAATATCAGTTATTAAAATAATTTATGCAAAATGTTTCGTTTACAATTCTGATACATGATGCAAGAGTCTACTTTTTTATATTAAATCCCTTGAAGTGTTCAAAAGAAACATTCCCCTCACCCCTCCGTGGTGTGAGTAGAATGGAGTGGAAATAATTTTATACTTTCTTCTGTTCCAGGGGTGTGTCCAGCAATGATTTCTCGTCTTTAGAGACTTTATGTAAGAAAATCATTAAGGAAAAACAAGCTTTTGAAAGGTTGGAAGTTAAGAAGGAAACTTTACTGGAAATGTTTAAGGTACATCAACCGTGACATGTGGCACCTACTCTTCTATCACTCATTAGTGTTACTTGAAGTCATTACTCTTGGGTTTAGTGTACTAAGTTGAAACCTACTCTGTTCCTTAGAAAATTTAACTATATTTTCAAAATTTGAAACATGAACATATTTATAAGCGTGCAGTGCTTTGATAAGATGTATTTCGAGTTCTATGTTAGCTGTAGTATTTAGAGGTAAAAAAGGATAGTTTTAAAAATATAATTTTTGCTATTTTCAGTACAACAAGTTCAAATGTCGGATATTGAATGAAAAAGTGAATACTCCAACTACCACCGTCTATAGGTGAGACTGTCAAATGTCATGAAATACAATTGTGTACATGTCATTGTAAGCCTTTATTAAAATTCCTTTCATTTTACCTTTAGGTGTGGCCCCTTGATAGATCTCTGCCGGGGTCCTCATGTCAGACACACTGGCAAAATTAAGACTTTGAAAATACACAAAGTAAGCAATACAGCCCAAGAGCTCTCTCCATGTAAATGTATTTGTGTTGGATGGCTAGATATTTAAACTTCCATTGATTTCTCTTCCTGCCTATTTGCTTTTGGGCGGATTTTTTCTCATGCTCTCTCCTGCCTGTGCTAGTATAAGTCATTAGGCATTTTTAGCAGAAATTCTCTGAAGCGGTGGCTGACCAGCCACCCACCACCAGAGCACATGGGGGTGGAGTTGGGGATTCACAAAATCATGCAGTTATGGGCCATCATGAAGCTTCCAGACTCACGGCAGGAGCATGTGCTTTTGTTCTTTGTGTGTCTAAGGTAGTAATTACCCAAGTGGTTCTTGCTAACCTAGCTAGTCCTGCCCGTCTCTACTAGTTCAGAAACACTTTATGGGCGATGATTAAAATGCACTGTAAATCGTAAGCATAATTGAGTCATTTCAAGATTTTTTTTTTTTTTGCTTTATTTTCCATTTTTGCTTACTCATGCATTAAAAGATGCCCTTGCAGTCAGTCATGTTCGTGGAGTTGTGGTTTGAGGGGGCGTGGCGGGTGGGTTTTCTGAGGGAACCGAACAGCCAGCTCTGTCCTGCTGGGTGAACCCAGCTGTTTAGCTCTGCCCCAGAGCCACTGTGGGATGTCTCACTAGGTGTGAACTTTTTGTGACTTTTCTTGTATAAGGACTACTATGAATTTGATTCATAAGGTGCCTATGGGAACTAACATCTAACTCTTAAAATAAGTGAGATATTGACAAATTTGAATATTGTTTCACGGTTGATCCTTGTTTTCAGAATTCCTCCACATACTGGGAGGGGAAAGCAGACATGGAGACTCTCCAGAGGATTTATGGCATTTCGTTCCCAGACCCTAAGTTGTTGAAAGAGTGGGAGAAGTTCCAAGAGGAAGCCAAAAACCGAGATCATAGGAAAATTGGGAGGGTATGTTAAAAAAGAACAATAATGTGTCTAGACTGCGTTTATTTTCATTTGAAATTCAGCTGTGTTAGGTATTTAACTGTATTAAGGATTTCCCTTTGAAGAAATGCTATAGCTTTCAAGTATTACTGTACTGTGTCCTATATAAGCCATAAATAACTTCCTGATTGTCCACATTATCTTTCTAGAGTGTGCTCAGTACTGCACAAAAATTCATTGTAACTGTTCCTTTTATTGAGGACAAATGCTGATGACCCACAGTTTTCAGTAAAAGAAGCATAGCAGTGCCTCATAAGCTGAGAGATACTTTGGAAATTTACCTGGTCTTACTGACTTATTTACTTAAAAACTATTTTATTGACTTCAGAGAGGAAGGGAGAGGGAGAGAGAGAGAGAAAGATCAATGATGTGAGAGAATCGTTGATCGGCTGCCTCCTGCACGCCCCCTACTGGGGATTGAGCCCACAACCCAGGCATGTGCCCTTGACCGGAATCGAACCTGGGACCCTTCAGTCCACAGGCTGATCCTCTGTCCACTGAGCCTAACCGGCCAGAGCATCTGTGACTTCTTGTAAAGATGTGGAAACTGAGTTCTAGAGAGAGTCATATACTTGTTGCCCAAGCTGATGCAGCGAGTCAGCGCTGGATTCCAGGTGCATTGCCTTTATCCCTCTGCCCTGAATGTTTTCAGACTGGAAGTTAGGTGTCAGGTGAAAACATTTCTTTCTGAAATTGTGTTCACTCTGTGCCAGGCGTCCTTGGTTGGTGGGGTAGGAAGCCTGAGCAGGAGGCAGCGTCCATTGCCACGCTCACCTGACTTCCTGAGGTCCGTCCAGCTGTAAGGAAGGCGCAGGGACTGGTGCGGCACCTCCCGGAAAAGTTTGGGCTTCGGGGGTGGAGGGGGTGCCATTCACCATGACCCAGAATCAGCCAGCTTTTCTGTTTCATTGTCAGTGTCTTTTTTCCCAGACTCCTAACTGCCACTCCTACTTAAAAAAAAATAATAAAGAAAATTTTAAAACAGCCAGATCTTAGAGCTTTAAGGAATTAAAACCATGTGAGCCCTCTCTAGATAGAAGAGAACTAGACCCTTGTTCCATGTCATCTTTGGTACATTTGACTGGATTCAGGAATGTAACAGGCAGGGAACTAAGTTGTAAATTAACCGCAAATCTGTACCATTAAATTGCACGTCCGAGATGTGCGCATGTTTTCTTTGCATTGGGAGCGGCCCAGAGGAAAGCAGGAGACATCAGGACCGTATTCTCAGGAACAGTGACGTCACATGTACAGCAGTGAGCATTCTTTGTTGTCTTCTTTACAGGACCAGGAACTGTATTTCTTCCATGAACTCAGCCCTGGGAGCTGCTTCTTCCTGCCGAAGGGAGCGCACATTTATAATGCACTGATCGAGTTCCTCAGGGTAAACCCTACTCGTTTATTCTCTTCTGTAGCTTTAGGACATGCGTCGATTTTATTAAACAGGGTCTGCTAAAACGAAAGATAATCTTGTATTTTAAAAGAAAAATTTAATGGAATGAATTTAAGAACTTTTTTTCCTAATGCGTGATAATGTCCATAGACATGGATGTGCACACAGAGAAGCCAGTGACCGCACTGGAACTAGGACTTGTCACCCTTTGCACAGGGGCTCTGTGTGCTCTTTGACCATTTATATTTCCCTTGAAAAAGCAGGTTAGTCTTTACCTTGCTTTTTGTCTTTGTAAATTATGAAGTGTTGAACGCATCCTATATAATCAGAGAGGAATATGCTAATTAGCCGTTATGCCCTGAGGCGTAACGACCAAGGGCATCATGACCAGATCACGGATCAGCAGGAGGGTGGGCCAGCGAGGTACAAGTGGGCTGTGGAGAGCTACAGGAGGGGGTAGGGCAGCAAGCTATGAGGGGGGGTGGTGAGAGGGGAGGGGGGCAAGTGGAGAGCTACAGGAGGGTGACAGCGACCTACTGGCGCACGGATTCATGTGCAGGGCTACTAGTATGTTTATAAAGAATAGTACCACCAACATCTGTATACTCACCACCTAATCTAACACACATTTGTATTAGGTTCTGTTTGAAGTAAAGTAATACTCACACAGTGAGGGGCACGAGCTCCCCTGTGGGCTTTGTGAAGCATTCCTGCCTTTCCCAGAAGAAGCTGGTCTGGAAGGCAGCGTGGATCCGTTCTGTCCATGTTGTCCACCACCCCATCCATACGTATCCTCAGTGGTTTGTGTACTTCAGATTTGCATACAGGAAGGCTCATTGTGTATCAGGTTGATTTTTTTTAAGATACATGCAGATCCCGCTTACTGTCACTTGTTACATATGACTCCATCATAGAACTACCGCAGTATGTCCGTCCCTTTATCGGTGTGCACGGACGTAATTTCTGATTTTCCCATGTTACTGTTGTGCTGCAGTAGCGTCATTTTGACAAGCCTCCTTATGGGGAATCGAACCTGGGACCCTTCAGTCCACAGGCTGATCCTCTGTCCACTGAGCCTAACCGGCCAGAGCATCTGTGACTTCTTGTAAAGATGTGGAAACTGAGTTCTAGAGAGAGTCATATACTTGTTGCCCAAGCTGATGCAGCGAGTCAGCGCTGGATTCCAGGTGCATTGCCTTTATCCCTCTGCCCTGAATGTTTTCAGACTGGAAGTTAGGTGTCAGGTGAAAACATTTCTTTCTGAAATTGTGTTCACTCTGTGCCAGGCGTCCTTGGTTGGTGGGGTAGGAAGCCTGAGCAGGAGGCAGCGTCCATTGCCACGCTCACCTGACTTCCTGAGGTCCGTCCAGCTGTAAGGAAGGCGCAGGGACTGGTGCGGCACCTCCCGGAAAAGTTTGGGCTTCGGGGGTGGAGGGGGTGCCATTCACCATGACCCAGAATCAGCCAGCTTTTCTGTTTCATTGTCAGTGTCTTTTTTCCCAGACTCCTAACTGCCACTCCTACTTAAAAAAAAATAATAAAGAAAATTTTAAAACAGCCAGATCTTAGAGCTTTAAGGAATTAAAACCATGTGAGCCCTCTCTAGATAGAAGAGAACTAGACCCTTGTTCCATGTCATCTTTGGTACATTTGACTGGATTCAGGAATGTAACAGGCAGGGAACTAAGTTGTAAATTAACCGCAAATCTGTACCATTAAATTGCACGTCCGAGATGTGCGCATGTTTTCTTTGCATTGGGAGCGGCCCAGAGGAAAGCAGGAGACATCAGGACCGTATTCTCAGGAACAGTGACGTCACATGTACAGCAGTGAGCATTCTTTGTTGTCTTCTTTACAGGACCAGGAACTGTATTTCTTCCATGAACTCAGCCCTGGGAGCTGCTTCTTCCTGCCGAAGGGAGCGCACATTTATAATGCACTGATCGAGTTCCTCAGGGTAAACCCTACTCGTTTATTCTCTTCTGTAGCTTTAGGACATGCGTCGATTTTATTAAACAGGGTCTGCTAAAACGAAAGATAATCTTGTATTTTAAAAGAAAAATATGGTGGAATGAATTTAAGAACTTTTTTTCCTAATGCGTGATAATGTCCATAGACATGGATGTGCACACAGAGAAGCCAGTGACACTGGAACTACTAGGACTTGTCACCCTTTGCACAGGGGCTCTGTGTGCTCTTTGACCATTTATATTTCCCTTGAAAAAGCAGGTTAGTCTTTACCTTGCTTTTTGTCTTTGTAAATTATGAAGTGTTGAACGCATCCTATATAATCAGAGAGGAATATGCTAATTAGCCGTTATGCCCTGAGGCGTAACGACCAAGGGCATCATGACCAGATCACGGATCAGCAGGAGGGTGGGCCAGCGAGGTACAAGTGGGCTGTGGAGAGCTACAGGAGGGGGTAGGGCAGCAAGCTATGAGGGGGGGTGGTGAGAGGGGAGGGGGGCAAGTGGAGAGCTACAGGAGGGTGACAGCGACCTACTGGCGCACGGATTCATGTGCAGGGCTACTAGTATGTTTATAAAGAATAGTACCACCAACATCTGTATACTCACCACCTAATCTAACACACATTTGTATTAGGTTCTGTTTGAAGTAAAGTAATACTCACACAGTGAGGGGCACGAGCTCTCCTGTGGGCTTTGTGAAGCATTCCTGCCTTTCCCAGAAGAAGCTGGTCTGGAAGGCAGCGTGGATCCGTTCTGTCCATGTTGTCCACCACCCCATCCATACGTATCCTCAGTGGTTTGTGTACTTCAGATTTGCATACAGGAAGGCTCATTGTGTATCAGGTTGATAAGTAATACTCACACAGTGAGGGGCACGAGCTCTCCTGTGGGCTTTGTGAAGCATTCCTGCCTTTCCCAGAAGAAGCTGGTCTGGAAGGCAGCGTGGATCCGTTCTGTCCATGTTGTCCACCACCCCATCCATACGTATCCTCAGTGGTTTGTGTACTTCAGATTTGCATACAGGAAGGCTCATTGTGTATCAGTCAGATTGATTTTTTTAAGATACATGCAGATCCCGCTTACTGTCACTTGTTACATATGACTCCATCATAGAACTACCGCAGTATGTCCGTCCCTTTATCGGTGTGCACGGACGTAATTTCTGATTTTCCCATGTTACTGTTGTGCTGCAGTAGCGTCATTTTGACAAGCCTCCTTATGGGGGCGTGTAAGAGTTTCCTCTCTGGTGTATACCTCCAAGTGGAATTTCTAGATCATAGCATATGTGCATCTTAAACTTCACTAGAGGGTAGGAAATTTAAATTCTTACTCCCACCAGAAGTACGAGCACTAATTTCTAGACATGCGTTCTGTTTGTTCTCTAACAGAGTGAATATAGGAAACGAGGATTCCAGGAGGTGGTCACCCCAAACATCTTCAACAGCCGACTGTGGATGACCTCGGGCCACTGGGAGCACTACAGCGACAACATGTTCTCCTTCGAGGTGGAGAAGGAGCAGTTCGCTCTGAAGCCCATGAACTGCCCGGGACACTGGTATTCAGCAGCTTCGAGTTTCATTTAATCCTAGATTGCTTTTCTTCCTTTGGAAGGATTTTTCTTAAAAACAAATGATGTGATCAGAACAGTATTTAAATGCGGCATTAGCATGGTGTTATAATTTCTTCTATGCCTGATTTGGTCCTCAGGTCTATAGACATTGAAGAATAGCAGTGAATGGGCAGAATATAAAGTGTTTTTTTGTTTTTTCTTTTATTTATTTATTTTTTAAATATATTTTTATTGATTTCAGAGAGGAAGGGAGAGGGAGAGAAAGATGGAAACATCAATGATGAGAGAGAATCACTGATCGGCTGCCTCCTGCACGCCCCCTACTAGGGATCAAGCCCACAACCTGGGCATGTGCCCTTGACCGGAATCGAACCTGGGACCCTTCAGTCTGCAGGCTGACGCTCTATCCACTGAGCCAAACCAGCTAGGGCTGTTTTTTCTGTTAAAGAAACATGTTCTATCAAAACCTAGTGCTAGTGAATTAACATCCTTGGGAAATCTTTTCCTTGGGGCTCTTTCTCTTTCTATCCATGAAAGTTGGATGAACAGCTTGGGGGAAACTAGGGAGACTGGCTCCAGGCAGCTCAGTGCGCACAGCTCCTCGTAGCGGTGCCTGGAGGGCAGGGGGAGAGGGGCATGCCCGTGGGAACTGGTTGTGGTCCAGGAGACCAGCGAGTTCCTTATGCAGAGTGTCTGAAGCACTTCTGGGAAGGACAAGAAAGCACGGACTTCAGTTTCCAGAGTGACATGTGATTTGTAGGCAGCTGAGTCTGTTTTATCTTTAAATAGGGCCTTAAAGGCCGTCCTCAAATTAAGGGAATGAGTACAAGGACGCGACTGCCGACTATGGGAATACGTGTGTTACTCTCCCTCAGTTCCGGGTGCTTGTGTTACAATTATTTGCTGTCACATTCATGCCACTGCCCACATTGCTGTGTACAGCCCAGAACTGGAGAGACGTTGCTTGTCCGAGCCACTTGGAATCCGTGGCTTTTTGACAGCCTTTCATATATGCTCAGCAAAGCAGTTTATTGTATTAACTGTCAGCGGCTTTTCCTTTTCTCTTTGCCAGCCTCATGTTCGATCATCGCCCGAGGTCCTGGCGAGAGCTGCCTTTGCGGCTCGCCGACTTTGGGGTGCTGCACAGGAATGAGCTGTCGGGGGCGCTCACGGGCCTCACGCGGGTGCGGCGGTTCCAGCAGGACGACGCGCACATATTCTGTGCCATGGAGCAGGTGGGGACTCGGGGTGAAATGCACTGAAGGGAAGGTCAAGGAGGTCACGGAAAATTACCGCCGTGTCATTTTCTTTCTTTTTTTTTTTTTAAAATATATTTTATTGATTTTTTACAGAGAAGAAGGGAGAGGGATAGAGAGTTAGAAACATCGATGAGAGAGAAACATCGATCAGCTGCCTCCTGCACACCCCCCAGTGGGGGTGTGGCCGCAACCTAGGTACATGCCCTTGACCGGAATCGAACCTGGGACCCTTCAGTCCGCAGGCCGACGCTCTATCCACTGAGCCAAACCGGTTCGGCTTCTTTTTTATAATTTATTTTTATTGTCTGAAGTTTTACATAAGTCTTACATAAGTCTCCTTTTTCCCCAATTGACCCCCGCGCCCAGCCATTCCCACCCCAGGCAAGCCCCCACCGCCCCAGTGTCTGTGTCCATTGGTTATGCTGATATGCATGCATACAAGTCCTTTGGTTGCTCTCTAGCCCCTCCCCGGGCATTTGTGTCTGGATCTATTCTTGTTCATCTCATTTTCTTTTATTTAAAGATCGAGGAAGAAATCAAAGGCTGTTTGGATTTTCTGCGTACAGTGTACAACATATTTGGATTTTCTTTTAAACTGAACCTGTCTACTCGGCCGGAAAAATTCCTTGGCGATATTGAAGTTTGGAATCACGCTGAGAAGGTAAGTGGTGTTTTTCAGGCGCTTGAATTCTGGGTGGCTGCAAGTGGCTTCCTCCGCCGTGTAAGAAAGCCAGCCTCCTAAATGGGTAAAAGCGAAAGAAAATTAGAAATGGCTCCTGGGTTAGAGTACGCTCGCTTTTTCCTTTTGCTTTTGGATATAGAAATGCTTGGATGTGTTTTAGTCATCAAGCTGTAACCTTGGAAGGGGTTTGGGTGTGAGTATATTCAAGTGGACAAAGTGACGAAGCAGAGAATAGTGACCCATGAACGTAATTATGGAATTTTTAGTCTCAAATTAGACCGGTTGCAGAGGAACAAAGATTAAAGTCAGTGTTGCTTTATCTTTAGCAACTTGAAAACAGCCTGAATGAATTTGGTGAAAAGTGGGAGTTAAACCCTGGCGATGGAGCTTTCTATGGTCCAAAGGTCAGTGTCAAAGTGGATGTGAGTAAGGTGACATTCATTTGGGGGTGAAGAGATTACTTCAGGTTAAAAAAAGGGAGGGGGAAATCAGCCCTCATATAACTACCGAGTCAGCTTCACTCTGGACAACACCTCACAGTAAGTCTTTGCTTCTCAGATTGACATTCAGATTAAGGATGCCATTGGGCGCTACCACCAGTGTGCAACCATCCAGCTGGATTTTCAGTTGCCCATCAGATTCAATCTGACGTTTGTGAGGTGAGTTCCTAGTGTCTGTTCTGAACATTCTTCAAGGACATATAACGGAGTGTGTGTGTGTGTGTGTGTGTGTGTGTGTTTGTACATACATACATATAAAATAAAGGTATGTATATATATACTAGTACATATAAAATAAAGGTATGTATATATACTAGTACATATAAAATAAAGGTATTTGTGTGTATATACTAGTACATATAAAATAAAGGAAGGCAAATCATTATGTTTCCTTTCTAGTCATGATGGAGATGATAAGAAAAGGCCAGTGATTATCCATAGAGCCATCTTGGGATCCGTGGAAAGAATGATCGCCATCCTCACTGAGAACTATGGGGGCAAATGGTAATTTTCATACTGTTTCCTTCTGGGCGACAGACATTGGCTGTAAGAAATGTCTGCTGTCCAGTTGAGCATGTGATGGGAAGGGAGAGTGATTGCAGTTAGTCGCTTGTAACTATTGACAGATATTCACTAAATAGGAAGGCAGTACAACTAAAACCCAGATTTTTTAGCTTTAAGAGTACTTATGAGGAATTATTTTTATCTCAGAATTTGATCTGTTGAATGTTACACTTTCTAATTAGGAATTATTATTCAGTAAGAAGCATATTGGCTATTTTGATGGCTTTTCAAGGGATTTGATGTGTCTGTCTGAGTAAATAGAGCAGGCGTTGGCTCCTGTGCTGAGTGTCGCTGACCGTCGTCAGCAAGTAGTTGGACACCCTTTAGAAGCCATGCATTTTCCATTGGGAGTGCAGACTCCAAAACAATCAGCATTTCATGTCTTGCTTTTCTAAGGTTATGTTTTTGCTGGAAACATATGAGCGCATAACTTTCATTTTACTTTCTAAGCCGTTCTGTCTGGGCCCGAAATTTGTAAAGACGGTTATAAAATCCCCGTTTTGTAGAGCTTGTTGCATTAATTCTGTTGATGCAAAACTTCTGTTAAACTGTTGTAAATCTGTTTTGTCTTATACATTGTAGTTATTTCAGTTGTATTTGTAATTTGGTTAGTTCAGACTTGAAGGGAAGTGTGTCATACTTTTCAGTGAAATAACAATATCTTTCTGTTATATTTCACAAAATCAATTCAAATATGGGAAACGTTCTCTATGTGAATCTAGAGAATAGGGGATCCTCAGCTAACTGCTCTGCCAAACCTGCGTTTGGTGGGGAAAACACACAGTTTGGGCAGAATTTAGTGCCCACTCCACCTTTTCCCTGATTAGCCAGACAACTTAAGATACGGAATGACCAAGAGAAACGCTGATGTCTGCAGCATCGGGAAGTTTGACACTAAAATACCCCAAAAGAGAGTTGCAGATGGGCCATCTTTTAATAAGTAGTGAGACCCACTCATCTTCCCCAAATGCCCTCAGCAGTCACTGAGAACTATGTTGCATCCTGCAACATGGAGCTGGAATAAACTGAAGACAGTCTGTGTCCCCTTATGCGGAATAAGTAATAAATCATGCTCGAGCAAAATCACTTCTTTAATAACATAGCAGTAAGTAAGTGTGGTTCTTCAGCAACGTGCCAAGCCCTCTGCATGGGGCGTGGTGTTCTGTTCCTGAGGTATTGAAGCGTGGGGCGTGGTCCCTGCCCCCAGTCTGCTTTGCCATCTGCTTAGCAAGACAAAACTTGGTTACAGGTTTTTCTTTCTAAGGGTTGGCTTTCTGCTCCTTCATCTCCCTTTAGTCTTTATTGGATATTAAAATAAAAGCCATGATTTTAAATGGTCCACACATTTAAAAGGAAAAGATACAAAGGGTAGACTGATAAATGAATGGGCAGTCCTTGTTTAGGAAAACCCACATTAAATATTTTTAATTTCTTCCTAAGGCCCTTCTGGCTGTCTCCTCGCCAGGTAATGGTAGTTCCAGTGGGACCAACGTGTGATGATTATGCCCAAAAGGTAATCCTTAAGTATGACTTTTCTTTAAATTTAGCATCTGTTGTTCGGCTTTCAAATCCCATAAGCTATATCCTTGGTAAATCAAGCTGCCTGTGATGTAGAGAGCTGTTACTATCTTCAATCTGTGGTAAGCTTAAACAGAGCACATGGCCTCTTTAATGCTTTCCTAGGTGGTTCAGTGATCAGAAGACAGGTTGGGTAGTTGTTTTATGCACTCTTGTTTAGTGGTTAGTGTTAGCAAGTAGGGAATGCCTCAGTATGAGGTGCAAATTCAAATGCAAAATGCAGTTGAAGTTACTTTTTGACCCAAAGTGTAGTTTTGCTTCATGTTCAATGCAAATTTCTTCATTTATTTGAAACCTTTTTCCATGTTAATGGCATGCCAGACCAATGTTTTACCCTACTGGCCAAACAGCTACCTCACTAACAGATACAGAAATATCCGTTCATTCTTCACACCTTAAAGACTATGACAGTCTGTTTTGTTACAGCAACAATTCTTTATCAAGGAATGTTAAATAATCAAGAGTTGTGTTATTAAAAAGCATTGTTTCAGAATTGCAAATTAAAAATAATAAAATAGTTAAAAGAGACAAAAATCTAAATATCATTGAATGGTCTTATAACATCGAAATCGTGTTTCTAGACCAGGGGTGGGCAAACTTTTTGACTCGAGGGCCACAATGGGTTCTTAAACTGGACCGGAGGGCCGGAACAAAAGCATGGATGGAGTGTTTGTGTGAAGAGTTGTGTTATTAAAAAGCATTGTTTCAGAATTGCAAATTAAAAGTAATAAAATAGTTAAAAGAGACAAAAATCTAAATATCATTGAGTGGTCTTATAACATTGAAATCGTGTTTCTAGACCATCAAAATAAATTGCACTCAGGTCTCAGCTGTCTTTAAGATATAAATGAACATTAAACCAGCTAATAAGCAAACCATTCAGGCAAACTGTATTCCTGTGACTGCACCACAGTAGTGTAGTTATAAATGATGAAAGCCACCTGTGTTCTATGGCTGATTCATTGTTTTTATCTTATGTGCATTATGAGAGCTCACTCAGCAGGAAAATGTTCCTACTCATTTCTCAGCTGGAAGCAGTACTGACCTCCCCCACTCTGGGGGTAGAGTGGCATTGGGATTAGGTAGGGGTAGGTTTTTATTTTGTGTTTTTTTTTCCATTATATTGACTGATTTTAGAGAGGAAGGGAGAGGGAGAGAAACATTGATGTTAGAGAAAAACATCAATTGGTGTATGGGACACTGCCCAGGGCTAAGCTTTCTTTTAATCAAAAAGGAAATCACGGTTGAGGGGGAAAAAAATCACTTTTTAATATTTCTCGAGCCTGATACTTTCTTTTTATTAAGTTACTAGAGTCCCAGTGCACGAATTCGTGCACAGGTGGGGTCCCTCAGCCTGGCTGGTGATCAGGGCGGATCGGGGCTGTCTCACCCAGTCCCGATCGGGCCAATCGGGGCTGGCTGGCCGGGGGGAGGGACCGCGGGAGGTTGGCTGGCCACAGGAGGTTGGCTGTGGGAGCGCACTGACTACCAGGGGCAGTTCCTGCATTGAGCGTCTGCCCCCTGGTGGTCAGTGCACATCATAGCAACTGGTCGACTGGTCATTCAGTCACTTAGGCTTTTATATATATAGATTCTTATAGACTTCTATTTAATTAGGTCATTATATACACAAAATTATTGAAGAACTAATTTTTAATGCTTACATGATTTTCCAAATTACAGGTTACATAAAGTCATTTAAGATCAAAATATAATTCTAATTTTGGATCTGAAGAATTCCGTGTCTCTGTTTAAATAGGTGCGGCAACAATTCCATGATGCTAAATTCATGGTGGACATCGACCTGGATCCGGGCTGTACATTAAATAAGAAGATCAGAAATGCACAGTTAGCACAATATAACTTCATCCTGGGTAAGAAAGGAACTTAGCCAAAGACAAGCTGCACAACCTGGGAAAATTCTGAAGTCTTGAGATTTAGCTTGAGAGGATTATAGTCATCAGTTTATTTCCTTTTAATCCTGATTCTTAAACTATTAAGTTTGTTCAGTTGACATAAGAAAGGAAAACTATGGTGTGAAAACGAATAATTTGTACAGCACTGTAAAAATTTCCTCCCCTTCACCTTTTATTTCTTCACACGGTCAGTTTTTATTAAGTCACCTGGACTAAGTGACTCAATAAGCACAGCAGTGTTGGCATTGCAGAGTGGGTTTGTTTTTTTAATGAATAAATTTTAAATCAGTTGCCTAACTGTGCATGGTCACCTGCACATTTAAAAAAATATATGGATTTATTGATTTTTTTAGAGAGAGAGGAAGGGAGAGGGAGAAAGAGATAGAAACATTGACCAGAGAGAATCGTTAATCGGCTGCCTCCTGCACGCCCCTACTGGGGACCAAGCCCGCAACCCGGGTAAGTGCCCTGACCGGGAATCGAACCGTGACCTCCTGGTTCATAGGTTGATGCTCAACCACTGAGCCACACTGGCCGGGCTCACCTGTACATTTTAATCAGAAGAAGCTACAGGGTGGCTTTTGGTCCTGGGGTCCTTTCTGTTCGAATGCTCGATGAGAACGCTGCCACCTAAGGATCCTTACTGTCTTTTGTTTAGTTGTCGGTGAAAAAGAGAAAGCCAGCGGCACTGTGAACATCCGCACGAGAGATAACAAGGTTCACGGGGAACGCACTGTTGCTGAAACCGTGGCGCGGCTGCAGCAGCTGCAGCAGGCCCGCAGCAAGCAGGCCGAGGAGGAGTTCTAAAGACAGCCCGACGGGCCCAGCGGGAGAGGACGAGCAGTGTGTCCGTGGTGCTCATTCACTGTGCTCTGGAAAGCCTTGATTTGTCCTGAACTTGGATTGTGTGGCAGAGTCTGCGTAGGTGACTGCAGGGGAGGAACCTGTTTTGACCTCAACAGGTTTTAGATAATGTGTATCTGCTGGAGATAATTAAAAGAGACTCATTTAAATGATTTTATTCATTAATTACCTGAGCACTGGAAATAGATAACAAGGAATGCTTTAGTGTGATGAGGGAGAACATTTTTTTTTAAATTTAATGCAATGGAAAAATGAGTTTTCAAATTTGATTCGGGTAAAAGAAAGATTATAATTGGATTATGGCATAAAAATAAAAACTTTAACTCGTGTAAATTTCAAGACTTCTGACCGTCACATACCTCCTCCCCGGAACAGATTGCATGTCAAGATTAATCTTTAATGTTCTATAGCAAACGTGTTAGGTGGGTGGAGGGGAGCGGGTCTGCAGTGTGTGTGGTCTTTAGTTGGGCCGGGAGCGAGAGCCTGCTTCCCGGTGGCAGAATGGCATCTTGTAGGAGCAACGCTCTTACTCAGCTTCTTTTTGGACATAAACCTTTTAAACAATTGAAGCCAACCATGGGTCTAATGGAGATTATTTGCACAGATTTTTAAGATACATTCGGTAAAGGAATATATGTTTATGGCACACTGTTTTGGGCCATTCAGTCCCTTGTTAATACAAATTCCCAATTCTCTCTCTCAGGATAGTTTTTGAATTTTGCTATCAGTGCATGATGAGTGAGAGAACACCACAAAATAAGGAATTCCTTATGTAGATAGATATGAATCTCTAATGTAATCACTTTGAAAAGGCAACATCTTGGCAGTTTCTAATATCCCAATAGGGTGTTTGCAAGGGTCACTGAAAAGCAAAGCCAATTTGCGTAGATTACCCCTCACTCTAACACAGGAGATAGGATCTTAATCAGGGGTTTTTGGAAATTCTGTAATAACGCCTTGCTTCTAAGACATAGTCTTTGATAGGTTTGTAATTACTTTTTATATATGTCTTGAGGGAAGCGATATTTCAACCAAGTCAAACTATTAACATCAAGAGCATCTAGTGGGAATCCTTTTAAAACTATATTTTGTTTTTATTTCTTTAATCTAAAATTCACAGTATCTTAGTTTCGATTTTTCTTCAGTTTTAAAAATTTCATATTACATATTTAATTTGTAGTCCAAACAAATGTGTAACATGGATTTTTCTTACCTATTTTATACTAAAAGCAATGACTGGCTATACAATGTATTAGCAGTGTACTTGAGATCATTGCAGAAGCTTCATAAATCCTTCAGAACTTTAAAGATGCAAAAGTTATTAAAGCCTAGGTTGGCAGAGCCACGAGCGGAAGAATCCTCTCTGTAGCAGGCCCTTAGCCTAGTCCTTCCCGGGAAACCTCAGGGAACCACCCAGAAGGGCTCTTACAATCTGCAGGCGGCTTGTCCCGTCAAAGCTCTCTTCTCTGTGGCCTGTTTTGTTTGCTTTTCAGTCCCTTTCCTGGAAGGCAGCGGCTGTCCTAGTTACTGACTCACTCACCTGTTCTGTTCAGGTTTACGACATAACAATGGAAAGACTCCCAACTGCTAAGCCTCTGAGCATCTAGTCTACTGAGAGTCATCTTGGTAATCAAATATACAGGGACGATTTGAGAACAATGACAAAAAGTTGCACCTCCGTGTGATAAATTCTGTAAAGATGGATTTTATGAAGTAAGAAATAGGTGCCCCAAACAAAGTCCGTACCAAAATGTATAAAACGGGTCAGGAGGATGGAGCAGTGGGTTAGCAGTATAGGCGAGCGACAAGGGTGGAGGACCCAGAACAGTGACCCGAGGTCACATTTGAAGCGCCGGTCACCATGTGCCCCGTGACCCCTTGCTTCACCTTTACTACAGCAATGGGCACCGGCCGGGGCACTGGGACTGCTGGGCCAGCGCTTTTCAAGTTCACGGGCGTAGAGGTGGGAAATGCAGAGCCTCGTTCTGTAGGTCCTGCCCGGGTCTCAGGATTCTGCACCCAGCAAGCTCTGAGTAGGTGCTGAGGAGCACACTGGGGAGAAAGCTCTCATTCCCACTCTGACTTGCCTTCTCTCTCCCGCCTTAAAAAAATCAAAGAGCAATAAAAGGCTCGCAAGAAAAGCAGCCTGTTGTCCGTGTGACCCTGTGGGTACCATCCCCAGGCAGCCGCCTCCCGCCATGCTGGTGTGTGCCTCCCGCCTTGCTGGCCTGTGCCTGGAGCCATGCTGGCGTGTGCCTCCCGCCATGCTGGTGTGTGCCTGGAGCCATGCTGGCGTGTGCCTCCCACCTTGCTGGCGTGTGCCTCCCGCCATGCTGGCATGTGCCTCTACTCCAGTTCTTGACTCTCACTGTTAGAGCCGCTGCATCTACTGTGCCAGCAGAGGATGGTTTCAGTCACACCCTCATTTCCCCTCCAGGCTTCCGATGTATCTTAGCTTCCTGTTGGAGCCATACCAGTGTCCTTGTTCTGTGTCTGTGAATAGGCTCTAAGTTACTAGTAAGTAGTATCCTATGATTTCTCCTAGTACTTTTTTACTGGACTTAAAAATGATCCCTTTTAAAAAATATTGTAATAGCTATGTACCAGCCAGGGAGGAGAGGGGTACTTGAAATATCACAGGGACCACTCTGTGCAGTGTCTGATTGTCTAACCACTATGTTGTACACCTGAAACTAATACAGAATAATATCGAATGTGCACTATAATTGGGGAAAAAAAGGAAAATTGTATGTTATATGTTTTTCATCACAATAAAAAATAAAATATTTTCTTTGACTATCTGCCTTGAATACTCTTATACCTTGCATTACAGTCCTTCCAAAAGTCAAATCTCCCCCTCCCCGGCTTTATTTAGATCCTATTGACAGGCAGTCTGTGTAAGTTTAAGGTGTTCAGTGCGATGGTTTCAAGGTTTGTGAGCACCCTCATCCCTCACATAATTTCCATCCATAGGTCAAACCTGGCAGACAGTTCTCTGTTGCAGTTGCCTTCTAAGACAAATCCCTTCTGGAACCTTCTGTCTCCTGGGCCCGAAGCAGCGCTCACCGTTAGCCTTCTCCTCCCTCCCGTGTTTGGTTCTCTTTCCTGGATCCCACATCTTCCTTTTTCTTGGTTCCCTATTTCATGTTGGTGAACTATTTCCAGTTGCCTTTCAAACACGGTTGCAAGGTATCGAATTGTTGGTTGAAACGTGTTTTTTTCTTTTCTTAGAATTCGGGAGACATTGCTCCCATTTTCCTCTGCCTTTTAGTGTTCCTAAGGAATCTGTTCATTTTGTTTTGTTGTGTTCATTCTCACCTGAGGATATTTTCCCATTGATTTCCGAGAGAGTGGAAAGGAGGGGGAGAGACAGGGAGAAACACTGATTGGTTGTCTCCTGCATGTGCCCGACCAGGGCCAGGATCGAGCCTGCGAACGAGGCATGTGCCCTCGACCGGAAGCAAACCTGGGGCCCTTCGGTGTGCAGCCCGATGCTCTGTCCACTGACCCAAACTGGCTAGGGCAGGAACCCATTCTTATCCCCAGTCCGTGGTGTCTCACCTGTCATTTTTTCTTCCTCCAAAAGGTTTAGCTCTTTTCTTCAGCCTTATTCTGAAATTTCCTGATGACCGTAGGTCTTTAGCCTCCATCACAGTGAGCAGCCTTTTCATTCCGGACCTTCAGGCCCTTCGGTTCTGAGAAATGTTTTCTCTGTTGCCTTTGCTGATTTGCTCCCCTACATTCTGTTCTTAAAGGGCCTTCTATTATTCAGGTATTCCACTTAGAAGAGATTTTTCAAACTTTTCCTTCACATTCATGTGTGTGTTTATTTCAGCTTTTTCCCCTTAGCCTTCAAGTTTTCTTTTTCTTATATTACCCCCTATATTAAAGCATTCTGTTCTTGTTCCTTGGATTCAATTTCTTTTATCTCAGGTACGTCTCTAAATGACATTGGAGTCTTGTCTAGCACACCGTAATATCTCTACTTTCTTTAAGTCCCCTTCTCTATGTTTTGGTCTCTGTATTGTTAGCAAGCCCGACTGCCAGAGGTCATGTGTAAGAGGGAAGCATGGACAACTCTACGTGAAGGGTGTGTGTGTGTGTGTGTGTGTGTGTGTGTGTGTTCGCGCGCGCGCCTATGTGCTCACTCATTGAAAGATTAAAGGCCATTCTAATTCCCGGCAGCAGAGGGCGATCTTGCCTTGTCTAGATTGACGAAGCAGACAAGGTTGAGGTGAAACCAGTTACAATAACCTTAGTGCCACTTGAACTTCCAGGGGAGCTTTTTCTGCTCCCTGCGTGTTTCCATCCCATGTTTATGTCCACTGTTGCAGGAAAAGTCGCCTTTTAAATTGTTCAAATAAGATGCCCATCGATGCCAAAGCAGACTCAGGTGGGAACGTCTTTCTGCATTGTGCACTCACTGGGGAAGGGTGATGGAATCAAACCGTGCTATTTGATTATGTTTACATCTTGAATCAGCACCATGCCCTGGCCAGTCTCAGCTGCTCCTCATGATCACCACTAATGGACAAAACTTGATGACAGCCTGGAGAGCTGCCCTGGGGTGCCTTTCCCGGCTCCGCTGTCGTGAGGAGGTGCAGTAGAGGGGGACGGGGCACAGCCCTGGAGGATGAGGGACAGATTCTGGTTTTAAGCAGGAAGAAGAAAGGTCAAGATAGGAAGGCGAGAGCCTAGGGTGCTGGAGGAGCAAAGCTTAAACAGGATAAGGAAATACCTCTTAATAGTTGGACCGGCCAAAGAGTGAAGCCCCCAGAAAAACACATGTTCCCTGGCATTGTTCCCTAAAGAGCGCCAGGAAAGCCCTGTTGCTAAGAGAACTCACCGGAACCGTTGGATGGGCGTGTTCATGCATCCTGGGCCCAGAGAGCCCCCTGCGTCAATGTGCCATCACAGTGTTCTGTGTAATAAGTAGTTCTTAAAGCGATTCAGTTCAGGGAAGGGAAACGTGTTCCCATGGCCATAGCTCTGGAGAAGGGGATGCTCTGTGAAGGCCTCATTGAGTATGACTTCAATGGAAAGGCTGGCTGACTACATGGTGGTAAAGAGGTTTGGGGGGGTTAGAGGTGAGAATGGTTGGTCAGAAATTCTTAACTGTTTTATTTTTTTAAATATTTTATTGATTTCAGAGAGGAAGGGAGAGGGAGAGAGAGACAGAAACTTCAATGATGAGAGAGAATCATTGATTGGCTGCCTTCTCTACGCCCCCTACTGAGGTTCTTGAGCCCACAACCCAGGCATGTGCCCTTGACCGGAATCAAACTCGAGACCCTTCAGTCCCCAGGCTGATGCTCTATCCACTGAGCCAAACTGGCTAGTGCCAGATTTCCTTTTAAATATACAAAAAGACTACTTTCTACGAATTATATGCCTGTGTTTAAAAAACCTCAGCAAAGTGGCTGTGATGACATTTCAGATAAAGAAGTGTCACCACCCCTGCCCTGGGAGGGTCTCACTCACCACCCCTGCCCTGGGGGGGTCTCACTCAACACCCCTCGCTGGGGAGGTCTCTGCCTGGCATCTCCACCAGGGCTGCCTGGGACAGCTGGGCCTCTCCCCCAGCGCCCACCGGTCTCTCTTTGCTGCTACATTTCCTTGGCGCTTCCTTCTTCCCAGTGAGAATCTCGCTCCTTGTCTCTCCTGGCTTCCAGGGAGGGTGGTGCAGGGCTTCCATCTGAAGGAGGTAACTTACATAAGGGAGGGGGGGCGGCATTGCCCAGAAAGAGAACAGAACTCAACAAGTATTGTGCAACCAAAAAGGACGACAAATGTCGGTGCCACTGGAATTATATTGTCTGATATGATCAGGAACTGAATTTAAATGCCCCACTGAGTGCATTTCACAGGGATGGGCGTGTTCATGCATCCTGGGCCCAGAGAGCCCCCTGCGTCAATGTGCCATCACAGTGTTCTGTGTAATAAGTAGTTCTTAAAGCGATTCAGTTCAGGGAAGGGAAACGTGTTCCCATGGCCATAGCTCTGGAGAAGGGGATGCTCTGTGAAGGCCTCATTGAGTATGACTTCAATGGAAAGGCTGGCTGACTACATGGTGGTAAAGAGGTTTGGGGGGGTTAGAGGTGAGAATGGTTGGTCAGAAATTCTTAACTGTGGAGAGGGAGAAGAGGGAGAGGGGGAAGAGAGAGAGATGGACAGAGGAAGAGAGAGGGAGAGGGGGGAGAAAGAGGGAGAGAAGGAAAGATGGGGGAGAGAGGGAGAGGGAGAGGAAGAGGGAGGGTTTCCTTTTATTTTTTTTTATTTTTTAAAATATATCTTTATTGATTTCGGAGAGGAAGGGAGAGGGAGAGAGGGATAGAAACATCAATGATGAGAGAGAATCATTCATCGGCTGCCTCCTGCATGCCCCACACTGGCGATTGAGCCCACAACCCTGGCATGTGCCCTTGACTGGAATCAAACCCTGGACCCTTCAGTCCACAGGCCGACGCTCTATCCACTGAACCAAAGTAGCCATGGCTAAGTGTTTGTGTTTTAAGGGTTAGCCCTCCTAACACCTTTCAGGATTACTTAGGGTTAAAATCCCGGGCTGATCCCTGACCCAGCAAATGGCTCCCTAGAGGAAACGCCTGGAATATATATACCTAAGGGCTCCTTGAGGGACTGTGTACACCGAAGCC